AAGCACATGACAAAGCGACCTGGACGTTACTACACATTGGATTGGATGCATCACAACTAGAGTAAAGTTTGGGAGAAGCGCAACATGACCTTTATAGCTAGCGCCTATTGCGGAGATAACGACACTCGAAGCCCACTATAAAAGGCATGACACAATCTTTTTTGCTGGAAATCTAGTTGAATCATCTAAATCAATTACTACCTTAGGCATCAAAGGGACCTTATCGGAAGAAAGGGAATACGTCGCATGCGTTGTGAAAATGTTATTACTTACCCCAAGGCAAGAAGTTGTATCTCAGTGTAAGAAAATCTTTCATTCTCAATGCAGTATTAATAACAAAGTTTGTGCATTTATTATAGACAATGGAAGTTGTGACAACATTATATTTAAATCACTGGTGAGGCACTTAAAATTACAGGCGAAGACTCATCCAACACCATACAAGCTAGGGTGGATTAAAGAAGGCTCAACTGTCACCGTAACTAAGATCTGTAGAGTTCTTTTCTCAATTGGGAAAAGTTACAAGGAGGAAGTTATACATGAGGTAGTTGACATGGATACGTGCGATGTACTACTTGGACGACCATGGTAGTATGATATGAATGCAACTCACTGTCACGGACTTAGTTGGAATTGCCTAAGTCGTGAGGCACCCTTGCGGCAAAGACGCGAACTTAGCTTGCGTTGCCTAAGTTGCGAGGCACCCTTGTGGCAAAGACGCGAACTTAGCTTGTGTTGCCTAAGTCGCGCTTCGCCCTTGCGATTTACGTCCGCAAAGATCAGCCCACTTGCAACCTCTCGCAGGTCCCGAAGGACCTGTAAAAGAGAAAGTTAATTAGTTCGAAGAACGAGCGACGAACAAGTCCCGACGTCTCGTGAAAAGGGGAAGCTTTACAAGCAATTCAGCGAGCACCTAGCGTACACAAGAGAAAAGAGGGAGAGGAGGAAAACAAGAACTTTAGAAGGTTGAACGAACAACTGCAAGTCCACAAACAGCTGCTCACCGGGTGCCGGGCGCGACAACAATTTCCCGTCAAGGTAACATGTGAACTTACGAAAGGTTGTTCAATGCCCGACACTATACCAAAGCCCCATCCCCCATGGTACCACTCGGGTGGTTCCAGGGTGCTGAGATGACTGACATTTCGCGTGCAGCAGCGGACTGCAGAAAATAGCCCGTGGTACGCCAAAACGGAGCTGTTTTGAGACTGTTTTGCTCGGTTTGGTGAGCAGTCACACTGTAGCACTGCAACTTGTTCGAACTTACATTTTTACAAGCAAAAGGACTTAAAACCAAGCCAAAACATGCTGCCAAGCAGTTGTACATGTAGATGAGAGCGACGAACGGTTTGTTGAACGGAGCTGTTGCGGGTGCGCGACGACCGTTCGTGACATCACGTTAGAAGAAAGAATGTCTATGTGTTCTGGTGGAATGGAAAGAAGATTGTCATTCTATCGACTAACAAAAAGGAAGATGAAACCAACACTTCTAAAGTAAAGGGGAAGTCTCTTATCTATTTCCAACTCTGTGCAGGAATTCATTGTTAATTCTAAAGAAACAAGAGTATGCTATGCTCTTATTGTAAATGAAGAAAAGCTACATGAATTAAAGATTCCAAACGAACTAAGATCGATATTGGAAGAATTCAAAGAGATCACCCTCGAAGAGTTACCATATGGACTTTCACCCATAAGAGATATTCAATACCAAATTGATTTGACTCTTTGAGCAAATCTATCAAATTTACCTCACTACCGGATGAACCCAAAAGAGAATGAGATGCTGGGGGAGAAAGTAGAAAAGTTGATACAAAAGAGACATTCAAAAAAGTATGAGCCTCTGTGCAGTCCCGACTTTGTTAACACCTAAGAAGTTGGAAGCTAATAATGCTAAGTACAAGAAATCAATTGATAAGCATAAGAGAGAATATATTCAAGAAAAAAGATATGGTTTTAGTGTATTTGCGAAAAGAGAGATTTCCCATAGGCACTTACAACAAATTGAATCCGAAGATATATGGTCCCTACAAGGTCTTAAAGAAAATCAATAACAATGCCTATGTAATTGATTTACCAGATGATTGGGGGATCTCAAAGACCTTCAATGTTGCATACTTACATAGCTACTTTCCAAATGAGAATCCATTTTATCCAAACATAAACTTAAGGACGAGTTTTTTCTCAAGTGACGAGGATTAATGCAGAAAAAGCAGAAGAAGACTATTTTCAAAGAACAAGCTACCCACTTATCACTTTTATTTATCCCACATTGTTAATTTTTATGTTTTATGTTTCTTTCAATAGTCCCACATTGTTAGTTAGTTAGTTTTGAAGACCTAAAACTAATATAAATAAATACCTCCTCTAAGCCTATGAAATCATAAAAGAAAAAATATTTTCAAGTGTTGTAAAGGTTTCTCCACCATAAGGAGTTGATTTTCCTCATCAGGTCAGTTGCTAGAATTTTTTTTAGTAGAAATTTCTTATTTTTGTTTCTGTCTTACATCAATCTTGGATTTTTTGTCGCGCAATCGTTCAGTGCTTGCGAAGTCTATACTTGTAATTTGCATTGCCTATCAAGTGTTTATTGAAATGGCTACTTGTGGGATCCTGAGTTAAATGCTTCTACTAACTCGTCCTCTCTTTTGTTGGTCCTTAAGGGACCCTAAAAGGTTTCAAATATGCTAACTCTTTGCGGATGGACATATAAGGGCACCGTACGACTTAGACAAAATCAGCTAAGTTCGTGATACAACAATTATCAATACATAATTTTCATATGTTGTTATAATTTTGTCTATTAATATAAATCAAGGCAATTTAGATACTCTATGATCATCACAAATCTAACTTTTATCAACCATTGGCAAAAGATACTTATTTATAAAAGTTACATAGATCATTCAAGTGACAGTAAGTTAAAAATCAAAAGAACATATATATTTCCACTATTCAATGTGTTTAGAAACCTTATGCAAATGATACGAAGGGCTTCGGATCCGACACCAACATAAAGAAATTGCAGGTGATACATGAGTCCTAATATATGCTGAAGTACCAATCCTGCAAGTTTTGGTGTCGGACATGGACACGACTAGAGCACTCATATCAATAAATTAAAGGTTCACATTACAAGAAACAATCTATGGAACCATATCGACCATATATGAGATCGGAACGCCAAGCAAAGGCAATCGACGGCTTCAAATTTAGGGCTATAAACTACATGGAGATTAGAAAGCAACGATGGACGAAACTACATTCAGACGAGCAAAGCTGTACTTGTGGATTGGCGGACGTGTTTCCTCGTATTTGGAGGATAAAACGAGGAGATCAGGAGGGTGGGTGGTACCTCGGATTCGTGGAGGTGGATTTGCAGGGTAGATAGGCTCCTCTCCACACACCATTGCTATTCATGTCTCCGCCGTCTTCTTCTTCGTCTTCGCCTCTCCCTCCGCTTCCTCTTAAGGCTTCGTCATATTGGGCCGGCCCACGAAGACGAACTATAGGCCTTTTATGGGCTTCGAACGAGATCAAGGGAGCCACACCTTCCGCACGTGCGAACCATGGAACCACACCCGTTCCGCTCACCTGCCCCGTCACGCATCCGAAACAAACGAATAGAACCCATCGTAGCCGTCAATACGAGATCCAACAGCAGAACGATACACTCCCACGGATCGACCGCTGCCGCCGCCCTAGACTCCCTCTTCTATAAATACCGTCCACCTTTGCTGCAATCGGGACTTTCACCTTTTCCTCTTCTCCAACCGTTCTCTTTTGGATCGATCTACTGTGGGCGCAATGTCCGGCCGCGGAAAGGGAGGCAAGGGTCTCGGCAAGGGCGGGGCGAAGCGTCACCGAAAGGTTCTCCGCGACAACATCCAGGGCATCACCAAGCCGGCCATCCGCCGCCTTGCCCGCCGTGGTGGTGTCAAGCGCATCAGTGGCCTTATCTACGAGGAGACCCGCGGCGTCCTCAAGATCTTCCTCGAGAATGTCATCCGAGATGCCGTCACGTACACGGAGCACGCCCGCCGCAAGACCGTCACCGCCATGGACGTCGTCTACGCTCTTAAGCGCCAGGGCCGTACTCTCTACGGGTTCGGTGGTTGAGCTGTCCCTTTTCGAGTGCCGCCGTCGACGTCGGCGGCGGGGTTTGGGGCCCTAGGCTAGCTAGGGTTAGGGTTAGGGTTAGGGTTCCTCTTTTGGTTAGATTTCTGAAGAAGATGTGTTTAGATAGTAAGTTCGGAAAATGAGATGAGCAATGTGACTGATGAAAATAGAAATTGCAAAAAGATACAAGAAATTTGGCATCTTTGAAGGGGTAAATATGTACAGTCTTGATTCTAAAAATATTTTAACGGATGTTTGTTTCCAAGACTTGAACTTCCGTCTCCCATGTCACTAGGGAGCAATCGGCTCACCCTCAATAACATGCCATGCATAAACAAATCAATTCATCAAATTCTATGAAAAGTCTTGTGATGCCCAATCTTACAAGGCTTCTATTTTACTTCATTGTCTTCAATTCAGTACTTCAAGTTGGAAGTTACTTAAGGTTAAAATGTGAAATACCAGAGCCAACAATAGATATGAGGGCCAAAGTTCAACAAAAAGAATTGAGACCAAGAATAGCAATCAAATCATAACTTGAGATTAAATAAGTTATATCATCGGAAAGTCATTTTGATTAAAAAAAAAATCAACTTTGAAAAGTAACCATAAAACGATCAGGCATTAACCCAAAACTTTGATGAGAACATTGCATTCAACCCAAACCCTTATTGAAAATAACCAAATTTTGCACAAAACAACTTGAACTCATCACAGCTGGAATAGAGCTCAACCAGAGAAATTATACCAGACGCCAGAATGCTTCGACAGGTCTGATTAATACATTACCACCAACTACGGCTCAGAAATCAACACTTTTGATGCGGTTGCAATTTAGAAATGTTTGGTCACTGTAGCTTTCTTTTACATGTTCGATGAAATGTTTGCCAACCTGAGCGAGAAAAGATCTGCTTGTGGCATCATGCGCAAGTAGGCGCAGAGCAGCTGGCATCAATTCATGGCAGTGGCATTGCAAGTCCGATGTGAATGAACTCATGCGCCGAACTCTTTTTTTGTTGTGTGAATGAACTTGTTGTGTGGAACTCATGCGCATGAGTTCATTCGCATTGGACTTGCAATACCACTGCCATGAATTGATGCCAGCTGCTCTGCGCCTACTTGCGCATGATGCTACAAGCAGCTCTTTTCTCGCTCAGGTTGGCAAACATTTCATCGAACATGTAAAAGAAAGCTACAGTGACTAAACATTTCTAAATTGCAACCGCATCAAAAGTGTTGATTTCTGAGCCGTAGTTGGTGGTAATGTATTGATCAGACCTGTCGAAGCATTCTGACGTCTGTTATAATTTCCCACGCAGTTGGTGGTAATGTATTGATCAGACCTGTCGAAGCATTCTGACGTCTGTTATAATTTCCCACGCTTCCCATCCATCAGGCACCAGATCAGCATTGCTCCTCGCTCCGAACATGTCCAGTGCCTCCTGACGAATCACCTACCTCGTATTACCCACCAAAATCGAATCCCAAGAGACAACATGTCTGCTACGAATTTCATCAAACACCTTAAGATCGAAAGCCTTCCGCCCAGGAGACGAACGTTCCGACCCCATCCTGACCATTAAAGCACGAACACTCAATTCTCCCACGAAAGCCGATGCAATAGCATGCCATTTGATAGGAATGGCAGAGGAATTTGGGCCGGCGAAAGGCGTCCTATGCGGCGGCGGACGACGAAGGCCACAGGGCTGCCAACGAACGTTGGA